CCCCCCCCCATCCAGTGAAATTTTGGTCACAACTATACATCTCTGTTGGACCCAGCGCAATACCATGTTCTGTATTCTTTCATAGTTTTCCTTTGGGTAAAAGTTGAGTTACACAAATTACTTTTTTTGTGCAAGTATGTGAAACAAGATTCTAGGCAATGTAAAGTGCATTCAAAGCTGTAACTTTAAATAAAAACGATCAATAATATTTCTTTGTAAAATGTAGTGATTAAAAAATGGCTGGATAATAGCATGTTCCAGTGCAGTCAGTCAAAGCATTTGTGTGGGTCTGTCATGCCTACGTGTTTCTTATTTCCAATTCACCTTTTCATGGGTGTACAGGAAGTAGAGTAGCTGACATTGCACAGCAGTTCTATGTTATCTTCCATAATGTCCTTCAAGGTTCTCATTCATCCAGGTCATGGTATGTCTGTGAAAAAAAAAAAAAAAAGTAAAGGCAACTGGACTTGCTGTATTTTTTTTTAAAGACGTTTCACTGGTCATCCAACCAGCTTTCTCAATTCAGAATGACTCATTCATACTATGAGGTGAGTGAAAAGCACTCACCTCATAGTTCTCCTTTCATGAATGTTGTAGTGTGTACTGTTTAAATTTTTTTAAATTTGGGTTACTTTTTCTACGTATGTATATAGGTGTCTAATTCTTTCATTTTCTTTTCTAGCATATTGTAAAATGTCATGGCAGCACGCTTTTACCTCAATTTCTGGGGATGTATCGTCTGAGTGTAGACAATGAAGACTCTTACATGCTGGTTATGAGAAATATGTTCAGTCACCGGCTTACAGTCCACAGGAAGTATGATCTGAAGGTAAACACATGAATGATGGTCTTTATACATATTTTATCGAGTTTAATAAATAAGCCAGCTAGGAAAGCTGTTGAATGTCTTCTGGTCACAAAGGTATCAGCTACCCCCAAACATAAAATGCTAAAGGAAGAACAGTGGTGCAATAGATTACGGTAAAGGAGGGAGAAGTGTGGGCAAAGTTAAATATATTCTCTCCTCTATGACAAGAGCTCTTGTGGGACACCGCAGCTGTCACACACCGGCTCTAAGAGAGCTAAGTGATCATGTGACTGCTGAACAGTCAGCTCTCAGTCTCTGTGTCTTGTGGGGAGCAGTGACTGTCATTCACTTCTACCCCAACACAGACACACACACCTAACGTAAATGTAACCCTGTGACCAAAAAGAGAAGCATAGCCAAAAAAGGTTTAAAAGGTGGCTCATAAAAGTTGCAAAAAGGTCATGGGCCACTTGTCTGAGGAGAGAGGGAGTTCTAGACACTGTGTGATAATGCAGAATAATTGGCTTTTGCTAGCTTCTGGGCAGCTATGAGCACCAAGAAGCTGCAGAGAAAAACTGCCTGAAATTAGTATGATTGTCCTACTGCAGTTTTGTATAGCGAGGCTCAGATCAAGGCAACAAAGGTGACACATGGTACTTCCGCCTGTCCAACACTTTAATATATCTTGGGTTTTCTGCTTTGACCTATAACAGTAAACTCCATTTATTTCCCTGGCCCTTGTTTATCAGTAACTCAGATCGTTAGATATGAAAAAAACTTCTTTGCAGATATGTCAGGAAGCACCATTTTGTAGCAGCTCTTCCCCAGCATATATACAGGATAAGGGAAGGTGAAAACCCCCTTAGGAACTGTTTATTATTAATGAATTTTATGATGGGAAAAAAAATCATACCTTCTCATAACTTTTTTTTATCTTTATCTCTATCTATCTTTATCACTTATCTTAATGACATAATTTCTCTCTTGGCATTTAACAAATCCCAGAGTGACCTTGGAATTTGTGCACTACTTTACAGTAGATGGCGCTTGTGAAGTTAATGTAATGATAACATTTTCTGTATGTGACTGGAGGGAATATCTTTGTGGAATGTGAAATGTCTTTAACACAACGATCAACTCTTTGCAATTGGCAATGTTTAGCATACAAAGTAAACTTGACTGGATAGTATTAGGGCTTGTTCACACCATGTTATTTTTCTGCACACCACCGTACATGTATGACGTGAACAGGTCATATAGATTTCTGTGTGCCCTGTTTACATCATACATGTGCGGTAGTGTGCAGAAAAACGCAGCTTAACGAACATGGTGTGAACGACCTCTTCGGGTAGGGAGTAACTGACTTTGTACATGTCCTCCTGAAGCCTCATTTGTGTGTTCTGTTTTTTTTCAGGGTTCCCTGGTGTCTCGAGAAGCCAGTGATAAAGAAAAGGTAATACAGTACAGAATATTGCTGAAATGTAGGGTATGGAGGTAACTTAGAATTCCCCCATTACATTGGTTCAGGCTGTAACTGCAAATATCTTTTCGATACACACATTACAGGGGTGTGGAATTCGTATCGCCCGACGCCCGGACATGTAGTGCCGGGCAAGTGCTTTTTACACTGTTTTAGCCCTGCTACGGACGAGTAGCAGGGCTGGTTTATTTTTTCTTAAATGAGCGCCAAGAGGGGGGGCGGGGAGCGCCGAGAACGGGGGACGGAGCGCAGAGCGGGGACAGAGCGTGGAGCGCTGAGAGCAGAGGGCGGGGACAGAGCGGGGGGGTGTGGAGTAGTGACAGGCTCTGTCACCTCCCTCAGCCTCTGTCCTCAGTGGCTGCTGCTCGTTCCTGTCCCACAGGAGTTCTAGCAACAGGGCCTGCTAGAACTCCTGTGTTGGAGGTGACAGGTTGAATAAAGTGTACCTGTCACCTCCAAATGTTATCACACAGGGGATTTGTTAACCCATGTGTAATAGCAATACAGTTAAGTTTAAAAAATAGTTTTAAAAAAAGTAAAAAATATTAAAAACGTAACTACCGTATATACTCGCTCAGCGATTGCCACGCAGATGTAACCCCATACATGTGGATGCAACCGCTGTATGCAACCGCACACGATCGCACGTCCCGGGATTGCCAAGTCTGCACCAACCCTAAAGGGTATATTCATTTTCCCAAGTAATTTGGGAAAATGGAATTACCCGCACAAATCTCCCTCCTACTATACTTACCTTTCGGCGAATGGTGCTTCCCGTCCACCAGTACGGGTGTACTTATCTGTACCTGTTCCATGTATTCTGAATTTCGCTCGCAAATTGCAAGCACTCGTTGGTCAACGCGGTCACCTGACGGCACTGACCAATGAGAAGCGCTTCTTAGCACTGCTAAATATGGTTTTGGTTAAAATTATTTATTTGTATCAGGACAAGTAGATTGTCATGAGGGACAAGTAGATTCGGCCCCCGCTTTAGTCCTTGGACAAGTAGTTTTTTTCCAAAATTTCCACACCCCTGCATTTTAGTATTCCTTATGCTTCTATTGCTAAAGCATCAGCATGACCGCCACAGGGCCAGCATTTTCCAGAGTCGGCACTAGCACATTGCATGTTAACTTCATTACAGATTTTCTTTAATCTTTATTACATTTGCAAAGACTGTAACACATAACCCCATACTATCCGTTGGCCAACTGAGATCCGATTAAATCAGCTGATGCAAATTAGAAATAGTATTTTTATTTGTAATCCTTTTAAAATATGATGTATTTGTTGCATCAAACGGTCCTTGTACAGTTTGATTGAACTAGATGTTCTGATCCATTTGCAGAGCCGATGTGTGCATATGTGGAAATTTTTAAAGCCTATCCCCCATCCAGCTTTGTGAGGGCTCTGGCAGTGATTGGGAGGAAGTAGGGGGAATTTGGGGCAACTGCAGATGGGGGCGGAGGAGTGTGACTGGATGAGCACACATGTCTGAGCGGGGTATATGTGCAGAGACTGTCACTTTTCACTGGCAAGCATCTCAATAGGTTTCATATAAGTTTTAACGTCTCTATAGTGTCCTGTAGTGAAGAAGGGCAGTGGGAGAAACCTCAGAGAAGGCATTCCCAGAAGTGTCAAATTCTAAAGATTTTTTTTAACTGGTGGTTTCATATGATTCCCATATCTTCAAAAATGTTAATTAACGACAATCTACAAGCGGATACTTCTAGATAATTGCCAGCTTTTTATTTTTTGCATACCTTACTTTTCTTCCCCAGTCTTCTCACAGTGGCCATTTTAACTAAGGGCAGGTTACTAGATCTCCCTTCACTTCCTGGAACTCTGGTACATGTGAACATGCACATCATCTCAGGGGAGGAAAATGCCTTTCCCTGAGATCTCATGAGATTTCCCAGCAATGCTCTGCTGATGTAACCTTCCCAGAACGCCAACGCTTGGGCACAATTACATCATTTTGTGCCAAAGTGGACCAGGAAGTGGGGAAAAAAAGAAATTGTAAGTCAAAGTATGTTTGTTTAGCTAATGAATGTAAGATGATTTCATGTCCGCATGCAGAGCGGGGTAAAGGTCCACTTTAAGAAACATGATAGTGATGCCTCGCTGCACTCAGCCTGTAACTAGATTTTAACCGCTTCAAGACCAGGTGTTTAGACCCCCTTCCTGGCCAGGCCATTTTTCAGTATTCAGCGCTGCGGTACTTTGACTGACATTTATTCCGTCATGCAACGCTATACTGAAATTAATTTTACACCATTTTTTGTGGACAGATAGAGCTTTCTTTTGGTGGTATTTAATCACCACTGGGGGTTTTATTTTTTATTATAATTAGGAAAAATTACTGAAAATTTTGAAAAAAAAAGTTTTTTTTTTACATTGTTAGGAAACATTTATTATTACCCAGTTTTTTGGTCAAATATAAAAGATCGGGTCACGTCGGGTAAATAGACACCAAACATGTCAAGCTTTAAAATTGCGCGCACCCGCGACATCGCAGAAAACGACCGCAACCAAAATTAGCCATAGGCGACGCTTTAAACGTTTTTACCGCTCATCAGTTTAGTGTTATCAGTGATTGATGGCCCTAGACTTATTGCTCTCACTGCGACGTTCGCGGCGATATGTAACATGTGCGGCGTAATGGGCGCAATCGTCTTTTTTGCACGTATGCGCCCCCGACGCATGCATGCATGCGTGCATGTATGGGTGGGGACTTAAACATTTTTTTTTTTATTCTTTTTTATGTGTTACTTAAATTTTTTTGGGGTGGATTTTATTTTTTTTTTCACTAAACTTTATTGCTATCACATACGGGGGCTAATAAACCCCCCCTATGTGATAGCAAAATATGTGACAGGTCCTCTTTATGGAGACATCAGGGGTCTCCAAGACCCCTAATGTCACCTAGGACCCCCCAAAAGAAGCTGATGAAGCACAGATCTGCTCCATCAGCTTCTTTGCAGCTTCTGAAGCTGGAGAGTGACACAAGAATGCGGAAGTGATGTATTATACAACACTTCCGCATTCTTGCAGAGGAGAGGGGACCGGAGGGAGCTCGTGTACCGAGCTCTCTCTGATCCCCTGTGTCACAGGCGACATGCTGATCCCGGGCTCGCACCGGGCACAGCGGAGCCCGGGATCAGCGGGACAATGGCGGGGGGGACAGCAGAGGGAGGGGGGGGCGCACCGATCGTCGCTAAATACAAGCGATCCGCCGGCTTGCATGTATATTAACGGGCATCGCTGCCCGTTTTTAAATTGCGGCCATTTCCCGCCGAGCGCACACAAGGGGGCGTGTCTGAGCGGACGTCTAAAGACGCCCGCTCAGATCTAGAGAGCTCCTGGCCGGCCGTTTTTTTACTACGGCCGGCCCGGAGGCAGTTAAAGGAAAAACAGACTGATCAGCATTTACCTCTCTACTCACTCTTGGTTCTGCTGCTTTCTCATCCAGTCCGAGTACTGCTGTTTAGGGAATTACCTGGGGTTCAGCTTTAAATTGGATTTTCACATTTATATGTGCCGGTTTTCCATATATTTGTTATTGTTTTGATCATAGCATTTTTGTAGATCCAATGGAGGCATATGTAATTGTAAGGCCCCATTCACACACGAATCGGCCTTCACATACAGTTCCGTGCTGAGTGCGCGCCGTACCAAGTAGCTGCTGGGAAGGACAGGTGCTGCATGTGATTAGAACGCAGCCCCCGTCCTTCTCTATGGGGCTACGCGGCCGTACGCCCCCCCTACGCTCACCTCATTTGCAGGTCCCTAGGGGTGCGGGTTTTCTGGCCGGGACGCATACATGATCCATTCCGGCGGCGTATGAATATGATCACCCGCACCCCTACGGACCTGCAAATGAGGACCTCTCAAAATGTTTTGGTGCAGAATTTATCAAAGCTGGAGCAGACAAATTCTGGAGCAGTTGCCCATAGTAATCAATCATCTCTCTTTCATTTTCAAAGCTTTACTGGGAAAACTGATAAGAGAAGCTAATTGGTTACTATGGGGAACTGCTCCAGATTTTGTCTTTAGTTTTTATAAATTCCCCCTTTGAGTTTTGATGCTCCCTAAACTTGTCAGTGTTGGGATGCTGTTGCTCCTGAGCCTAAGAACAGTCTCTGCTTTGTCATTTTCTGCCACAGTAAGTAGTTTCCAGAGATGACTGAGAGACCATATTTGATTTTCACATGATTCATTAACAGTATTGCACACAAAAAGAGCACTTGTGGACTGCTATAAATATTTTCAACATTTCCATATCTTCTTTTTTTTTTCCTGTAGGAAAATCTTGTGCAGTTAGAAAGCTTGTTATTGTCGTCACATGTTATGCTGTATTTTTGCACTGGATCATTATCCTGGCTACATAACTGCAAGTCCTACATATTTCATGGGTGAAAAAAACCTTAATGCAAACATAAAAATCAGTTATAAATAATCCATATCAATAGCTATTTTTATATTTTTGTGTATGACAACTTTTTGGAGGAAAAGTTACTATCTAGCATCAGCTTACTAGTGTATTTCTGGAGCCATGTGAGCCTAAAAATAATAGCCTGAGGTTCTAGCCTATCTTGATTGTACATCACAAGACACAGGGAGTTAATGCTAGAACATATGGTTTCTACAGTTACCTTCAGGCAAATCAAAGCTGTTAGGACAGCTCTGTAGAACCCCCCCAGTATAACACCCTACACATTTTAGCCTGTCTCAGTTCAGTGCTAGTGTCCTTAGGTTTGCTCAAGACTCTCTTGCAAATTTTTAATATGGTATTTCACTGCCACTGTGACACCTCAACAGCTATCCAGATTGGTTTTCTCCTTGACAAACCATATCTGAACCCTGTCAGAACGATAATGCAGGGCAAGCCTGTGATGTGCTTGGGGCACTAGATCCTGCCTGGGGCGCTCACCTTGGCACATTGTGCAGCATGTGCACTTGCTGCAGGGTTCTTTAAAGGTCTAGGGCCATGGTTCATCTGGGTGAAGCCCTGTCCCTGAAGGCATGCATCAGGGGGTGTGCTCACCAGGAGGGTGAAGAATGGATGCTGCATGTCCCCTTTAAATGACTACACTCTTCTGCCTGGTCAGATGCCGCTCTGAGGGTTGGTAATTCAGTGTTAATCCCAGTTAAAGATGCCCAGGTAACAGATTCTTTCCCCGAATGGTTCCACTTGGGGGTGTGGGGGACCGCTGCCCTCTTTTAAAATTTGGCATCATTTCCCTAGCATAGGTGGCCTTTAGAGCCACACAGCGCCTGCGCAGCCTCTCTCGGCGCCTCTGGGGATTTTCTACTGAGCATGCGTCTGCCATTTTCCTTCTGACGCTCAGCTGGCTACACACTGCTACCGCTACTGCTGCAATTCTGCATGTCTACCACGGAGGCCACATCTATACAAATTGCTGCACTAGGTCACTGCTCCTGCCTACAGTGTTGGAACACTAGGCACCCTGCAACCTCCCACAGTAGTAATGGGGTTCCCCCTCAGGCAGTGGTGGATCATAGACACGGAAAATATGTTCGCAGGATCCAGAGCCTCACAGACTGTTTTGGGAAGGGTTCTGTTTCCTCTGGGGGCACTGTTTTTGCTAGCCCTATACTCTTCTCCCCATTACTTCCCGGCTCAGGGTCCTCTTCAACACCTTCAAGGGCACCTTCCTTTGCCCTACTGTCCAGAGAGGCGCGTACTTAAGTAATAGTGAATTATGGGGAAAATGTTGAAGAATTTGACCGTGTGCCAGTACTTTGAGTCCCCTGCTGTTGAGGATGTGTCTGTTTTCAAGGACCACGTGAACAAGATATTTGAAGCTTTATTTATGGACTGTTTGCCCTTGCAGGCCCTACTATGCAACCTTCGGTTGCCACCATTGCACTGTGTCAAACCTCATCTGTGTGGTCAAAACCTATGGCTAGGGACCATGGGTCCATCTTGATGAAACCCCACCGCTGTAAAACAACTCTTTCCTGTAGCCTTGAGCTACCATGTAATTGGCCTCGCGGTTACCATTAGAGAAAATCTCCAGGATGGGTCTCCTGTCTGTGTATTTGCCACAGATCCTTTGGCTAAAATGCTGGTCTGCGGAACTTCCTTGCAAGTAGCACCTTGAAAGATTCCCCTCTTTGGTGAATTCTTGGAATTTCAATTAGGCAACGTTGGACAAGAGTAAGTCATTATCCTGTGAACAATTTCTCCTAAGTTTAAAAAATTGGTGATATGGGATACTCTTGATTAAAGATCTGGGATGCGTGTAAGACTGTGTTGCCGGATGTGGATTTCCTGCACAAAGTGGTGCAAATGCTTCAATCACTTTGAACTATGTTCATGCCAAAAAGCTTATTACATTTTGCCTAAAATTTATAGTAAAATTCAAGTTGAAGGGATTATTTTTAGGTTTCATCATGAAGTCCTGTAGTTGTTTTATAAATGCCAGTCCACACGAAAAAAATATTGTCCATGTACCTTTACCATAGAACAATATGGCCAGCCCTACTTCATTACCAGCCCTACTTTTTTTTCTATCTACAGCACCTCTATTGGTCAGTTAATAAACTTGCACGGCTTCCAATACCATCTCTATGCTGATTACACTCAAATCTACACAACAACTCTCCCCCTCAGTGTCCTTGAGTGTCACTAATCTACTAACTGACATATCAGTCTGGATGTCGCAACACTTCTTAAAACTCAACCTTTCAAAAACCGAGCTGATGATATTTCCTCCCGCCCGTGCACCTTCCCCCAACTTTTCCCTCGAGATTGATAACACAACTATCCATCCCCCCCCCCTTCTGAAAGTGCTAGGTGTCCTCCTTGATTCGGACCTCACCTTTTTTCCCCACATCCAATCACTATCCAAATCCTGCCGCCTTCACCTTCGTAACATTTCCAAAATATACCCCTTCCCCACCAAACTACTCATCCACTCACTTGTTATATCTCATCTTGACTATTGCAACTCCCTCCTCGTTGGCCTACCTCTACACAGGCTATCCCCCCTTCAGTCTATCATGAATTGTTCTGCTAGACTCATGCACCTAACCAACCGCTCAGTGTCTGCAACCCCCCTCTGCCGATCCCTGCACTGGCTTCCTGTAGCCCAAAGGATACAATTAAAAATATTAACCACTTACAAAGCCATTCACAACTCTGCACCTGACTACATCTCAAACCTTGTCTAAAGGTGCCCACACACCTAATCACGATAATCGCGGGAAATCCCGCGATCGTACGATTATCGTAAGGTGTGTGGAAGCCGTGTGACCTCTACTACTGTAAGGTCGCACGACTTTTATCTTAGGAACATGTTCGAAAACCCGCCAAGCATCGTACGATGTTCGGCGTGTGTGTAGCAGGTTCGTAAGATAAAAGCCGGACTGGCCGGTTTATGCAATCGCACACTGACCGTTCGGCATTGCGGTCATCGGAAGCCCGCCCCTCGGGGGCGCGGCTTGCGATCATCGTTAGTACGATCTGCCTGTCCAAGAAAGGCAGATCGTACATTTTTTTAAATACCTTACAACCATCGCAAGACAAAAGTCTTGCGATGGTTGTAAGGTGTGTGCCCAGCCTTAAAGTATCACCCTGTCTCCTTTGCTCTTCCAAAGACTTTCTGCTTTCCAGCTCCCTCCTCAACTCCTCCCATGCTCGCCTCCGGGACTTCCCTAGAGTCTCTCCCATCCTCTGGAACTCCTTACCCCCATCTGTCCGTCTATCTCCCACTCTGACTGCCTTTAGGCAATCACAAAAGACTCATCTCTTCAGGGAAGCCTATCCCACCTCAAATTAACCACTCAACCATCACATTCTCAAACAATTCACAGCTACCTCCTCATGTATCACTTGCCCCTCCCTTTTAGATTGAAAGCTCTTACGTCCAGGGCCCTCACCATATTGTCTTGAATTGTATTGTGATTGTAATGTTTTCCTTATATTGTAAAGCGCTGCGCACAACTGTTGGTCCTATATAAATCCTGTATAATAATAATACTTGGTATGGAACTTTTTAGAAGACTGAATAGCTAGTGTGACGGTATCAAATTTGCATGTCTACCCCCACAAACACCCCCCTTATCATTTTCTCAGTGGTTTCAATATTATCTTGTCATAGGAGGCTGTCTAGTTTTCAATTTGAAAGTCTTATGTTGATCCTATAATCTACAAATAACACTTACACTTGTACTATCTAAGCAGAGATAGTGGACATATGTGTGAACAGATTATTTACTGGCACAGAGCATGCTCACTACTAACAATTGGCTTGTCTGTATCCATAATTGGTCACAAGGTCATAAATGGTCTCATTTATTGAGTAGTAAGTAGATATTTTATCTAAGATAAAGCTATTTTTAAAGCATTAGACAACTGCAAACTAGTATTTCCGCAGATGCTGAAGCTCTGTCACCCAACAGATTTTTGTATCTCTTGGGGACTCTGGCAGTGGGATCCTAGTCTTCAGTTCCCAGGTCCTGCTATCCTAGTCTTCAGTTCCCAGGTCCTGCTATCCTAGTCTTCAGTTCCCAGGTCCTGCTATTCTAGTCTTCAGTTCCCAGGTCCTGCTATTCTAGTCTTCAGTTCCCAGGTCCTGCTATTCTAGTCTTCAGTTCCCAGGTCCTGCTATGAGTGTCATGAACAGGTCTCTTTGCAATTCGTTTTTTGTTTTTAATGGAAGAAACCAGTGGGTTGCAGAAACCTCCACCTACTACTGGAACCTTATCAATTTGAGATAAACTGATCCTTTTTTTTGGTTTTTACTTTCAGATAAAAGAATTGCCAACTTTTAAAGACATGGATTTCTTAAATATGAGTCAGAAACTGTATGTCGATGAAGAGCAAAAGAAGACTTTCATGGAGAAGCTGAAGCGCGATGTTGAGGTAGCTGAACCTCTTTGTTGGTGTTCGTGCCATACAGCTTTAGGCCTCATTCACACTGCCACGCATATAGTACCATATGCACCCTATGCAAATAAATGGCCCCATACACAAAGCTGAGTATGGAGCTGTGTATTTGCGTCGCGTAAAAATGCGCAAAACCAGAATGGAACCTCGATGCATCTGGGCAGCGCAATTCTGCCTATTTACGCACATATACGCTTGTTTGTGTGCATGTACGCGCGTACAGTTCATTAACATTTTTATAACGAATGATGCATTGTGGGATTGCAAATAGTGCACGCATTTACGCACATACGCTCGTGTATACGCAATATACAATTTAGCTCTTGCGATGTGTTTGAATGAGGCCTAAGTGTTATAAATAATAATGAATTGTTTATGCATTTTTATGGAAGAAAATCCCAAATGATGTATTGTCACCAGAACGGGAATGGAGGGGTAATCTTCAATTGGTATACTAGTTAACAACCGGTATTTCCTTCACTGTGGAGGGATGTGCTCAGAAACATGGCACAGAATAGGAAAAGCTTGTTGCTCTAGTGAATTGCCCCTTTTAGTGACCAGAAACACCAAAATGCTAGTTAGGAGAGTGTCACTTAAAAAACAAAAAATGCCTATAGCTATTAAAATAAAGTCCCTCGCCACACTCAAAAGCCAAACCTTTCTGATCAGGCCAGTGGTGAAGGGCAAATCTTAATTATCACTGTTAGCAAAGGGTTCACTGAATCTTTTTTGAAATTCAGTGATGCCAAACTTGGAGGCATATTCAATTGAAATCTTTGAAGGGGGCAAATCTATCTAGTTGGTAAATTCTGGCAATTTTTTAGGTCTAGTAGACCAACTACTGGGGCAAAAAAGGAAAGCATGGGAAGCTGGGCACTGCCATGGAGGACCTGTACCGATGCAAAAAAATGTTTTATCCTCCATTAAAGGACACAGGATAAATTCACAGATGTGTGGGTTATATGCAGCTTACTTGAGGAGGTGGACACTCGGGGGGGCGGGAGGGAGCTGCGGCTAGCACTACTATCTTCAGGGATTTCTGTAATATGAGATCTACCACAGAACTAGGTCTTATTTTCGGGGTAGGTCTTTCGGGGAAACGCGGTATAACCCTGCCTCTAACAGTCATGCCTCAGTTTTGTTTACTAGTGTCCTATGAAGTTGGACGCTTTTTCCTCATACTTGTGGTAATCCTAGTACTTTAAGCATGCCTGAGGCTCCTATAATTTTTTCTGACACTGATTCAGAACAGTCACATCCTACTCCTGAGGTCATTGATGATTCTGCAATACTCAATATGATGTCTAATCAGGTTGATGCTGTTTGCTCGACCGTGGCTATAAGAATTCATTCTGTCAGAACTGAGCGCTGAACTCCCTCCAGGACCTTCCAGATCTGCTGGCTGGGATAGCACCCATTATTTTTTATGCATCTGTGCAGTGTGTGTATTATGTGATCATGCCACTGGGCTTCTGCGTACTGTTAATGAAGAACTGGGTCAGTTAGTTCTCAATAGCTGACAGCTATTGAGTAACTAAAGTCTTATCTTGCTTTGCAATTTTTCAGCCTCCATTCACACCAAGGCGTTTGGAGTTTGTAATAGATGTGCTGTTTTGTGCATGCCTGCATCTACAATACAATCCACTGGAGACAGAACGCACTGAAAAAAGGCAAACAAATCTTGCACGTACTTTTTCCCGCTTTGTGCGTGCGTACGAACACGTAGGTGTGAAGGAGCCCCATAGGAATGCATTGTTTTTCATGTTTTGCACATTTTCGTGTGCGTGTAAAAACCCCTGTGTGTGAATGGAGACTAGGTTCCGAAGCAGTTGTAGGCTGCCCACTCCTATTTTGTTAAATTTTATTATATCTGTAGCCAAAACTGGGTTGTTTTTGTTTTTTTGTCTTGGGTCGATTATGGAAAAGACTGGAACACCTTTCAGGTATTTCTAACGAAGTGAGAGCAGAGCTTTTCAAAATTAGGGGAGTTTCCCCCTCTTGATCTGGTGACGGTGGTAAAAAATTTTAGATTTCCTATCACCTTTTGTCCTTGTGACAGTGGTGGAAAGGTTGATTCTTCGAAGCAAAGCATGCAGACTGCATTAAAAACTTCAGAGGCTCTAACCCTTCCACACAATCCAGAACATTAAAAAAAAAAAAAAATTGTCAATAGATGTAAATAAAATGATGAAAATAAGCCTGCTTACTACAAGAAAGAACATGCAGCAAGTGACATTTTCAGGACCTATCTGTAATAGTGAACCTCTCTCATGGTGTTCTTGCTATTTTATCCTGAGAACAGTCTCTGAGAGAAGTCTCTGATGGTGTTCTCGAACGTTCAGATGGGATTTTTCATGCGAATGTTCATTCAAAAATCTACCAGGGTATATCCTGTCAAAGCGGATAGCAGGGTCTCCCATTCAAAGGCTGTCTGTGGTCTGAAGCTGGGAAACTGAGCATGCTTTGAAACAGTTTTATTCATTCAATTTTATTAAAATGTGAAACCTAGGTATTTAAACTTGTCACCATGAAGTCAATTTGTAGCAATATCCTTTAGGACCCGTGTGGGAGAGCTTTAGTTAGCTTCAGAACTGCTTCTCTTCACATGCTTGTCTATGCGAATGCTGAAGCAGGTAAACTGGATAGTGAATTCTGAATGATCTCGGAAGCGTCTCAAACTGATGTCAAAAGTACACAAACACACATCCGATGTAGCTAAAACATTTTGGAAAGAAAATTACTTAAAAGCCCCAAATATGTATTTTCTAAAAGCAGAGGCCCTGTAGAATAAATAAAAATGGTAGCTGCATTTTTTTATGTTGCATAATATTTGAGCAACTGTTTTATCATCCAACACAATATGATGCCCGAGTACCCCTAATGTCTCCCCTGCCCTCCACTGCAGATGTCCAAGCATAGAATTGTGCTCGATAGCCTATTTAACTGACATTTCAGCCTGGCTTGTGACAGCTCTGAAGCAGGAGGTGCTGAGAGCACAGCACTTCCTGCTTCAGTGATCATAGAGCAGATCAGGGAATGGACATTCCCCGATCTGCTCCTGTACGCCATCCTGACACCACCATGGTTTAGCACAACAGAGGGTGTACAGCATGGCAGGGGGAGAGATGTCTATACCTTCACATGCTGGTACAAGTAGCAGCCGTGATTTTGGCATAACCACTTCAAGATCAGGACATACAGGTACGTCCTATGGTCCTGAAGTACATGTTCAACATACAAATTCTGTTGTATGTCACATGCCACATTTTTTGCTACAAAAGTGATGACGGGTTGTTCTTTTGCGTAGAGCAGGGAAAGGTTAGAACTCGTCAGGATTTATTTCTTTCCCACAGGGAGGGATTCACCCCTTTTATTTGTCCTGTTGGCTGTTGTCACTGAAACAAAATGATGGGAAATCCAAAATTCTGCAGGAGTAGAGGGGAGGACTTCCAATTGGGAATGGGGACACTAAGAGTGGAATTCCTTTCCTGTTTAGTCTCCATGATAGGAAGTGAAGGGAAATCTTCCCAATGAGACTAAGATAGCAAAAAAACAAAAGGACAGGGATTGTAACCCTTCCCTAATCTGTTCAAAACTGGGGGGAAGAAAGTTTTTGGGAATACATACTTTAAACTTCTTTTTCATGTGTTTACGGTTTATGTTGACCACCACATGTAAGTCATGCTGAATCTAATGAAATGACAGAATATATCAAATCCATTATCTAATAATAAGCAAATCAAATGTATAAACCAGTGTCAAAACAAAGCTTTTCTTGTTGAGTTAGGCTAAAGTTTGTTTGGAAAATGCATTGGTTAAGAAAACGACTATCAGTTGCATGGCGTTGAGTAGGATTCCAGTCTACACCCTGGTCTTTTTATTGTCTTGGGCAGAAAAGCCGTTTTGATTTGTCCACCGTGAAAATCTAGCTGTAAATGTACAGAAATGATGGAAATGTTTGTGTTTAGCTTCTAGTGCAATTAAAAATCATGGATTATAGTCTGTTGCTGGGAATTAATGATGTCGTTAGAGCCGAGCAAGAGGAGGACGAGGAGATGGAAGAGGAGGATGCTGAAAATGAGGGACCTGGACATGTCGTTGGCTCTTATGGGACTTCCCCGGAAGGAATCGCAGGATACCTGAACTGCCACAAACCTCTGGGCGCGGGAGAATTTGTCCCTTATATTGATGTATATGCACTCAAAAGTTCTGACAGTAAGTCAGTATTTCTTTCTGGTTTGACATTCACAATCAAGATGTTTCTCTGGGATATAACATTCCCTACAATAGGATATAATGCTATTGGATGTAATAGATGATTGAACTAGATACCTTTTTTATAATCTTGTAATTCCTTCGTATTTAAAAATAAGATGTGTCACTTCCTGTACCTCTTCTGGCCTGGGAAATTACACTATAGAGTGATTTTCTATATGAATATTATACCAACATATTTTATGACTGTGTGGCTTTGGAAATCTGTAACGCCATAGCTATACTTGTACAGCCAATTTGGATTGGGCATGTGCCCACCCACCCATACTACTTTAGCCTAGATGGCCATGATAACTCCTTTTGAGTGTGTGTAGCCCAGGCCTAGACAAATCTCGCAGAGATCTAGTAGCCAGCTATCGCCATGGCGATGGATATTTACCAGTCTTATTTTACTGACACATTTACAAAAAAAATCACAAGCACAAAGTAATGTGTGTATAAATATATATTTGACAGACCCAGATAAATCCAGATTACCATTGCTCTCGGTTTTGTTTTTGTTTCCCCCTACACAGTACTGAGCTACATTGTAATATTGTTGCTCACCATGTTTCAGAAGCTGTACTAAATATACTGATTATGCTGAAGTATTTTATATCTACATAAGCCACATAATTGGCGTTTAAATAATGCATAATATTCTGAAATAGCCATTCAAGGAAGGGGCACGCTATTCTGGTACATCAAATGGTAAGGAGTGGCATAACACATCACTAATTGAAGAACTCTGATCCGATGAAAAAGCATAATACTCAAAAGGAATAAATACGGGATTTGTATATTTTGTCTTGCTAAACGATTTCTTTTTGTCAGGTTATGATGCAGTGTTGCAGATTAATATTATGTAGCCTTCTATTCAGTCAGCAGTTGGAGCTCTTCTTTTTTTCCTTTTTTACATGTGGAGCATTGTATCAGAGTCCACTCAGCAGTCATTTATCCATTATTAGGCCACTTAGACAGTGGTTTCAATCAGATAAATGAAACCATAAAGCAAGCTGTGTCTTGCAGGCAGTAGTGCTTGGGTTTCCTTGCAGCATTGTCATCACACTACAGGAAGGAAGGACCTTTGCCTTTGCTTTTATTTATGGTGAACAGTATAGTGGCTGTCCGTGCTGACCAGGAAGACACCGATGGTGAGAAGAGTTGTGGTTAAATGCCAACCCCGCAAGCTTTAGCAGCATTTTCCTTTAATAGAGCACCTTGGCCCTGAGATACTACTGTGATGCTTTGCTAAGAATCTAAAATGTTTGTAAGCGCCTAGAGGTGACTGCTGTTCAGAATAAAAGGCATCTTACTATCTCTAAACCACCTCACAGGTATGCTTTAAATTGGCAATCCAATAGACACATCCTCGTGTCTGTGGGCACTGACGGGGCTATTCACAAAAGGGTGAAGAGTTTGGAGAAGGCCGGAGAAGTGAACAATCTAGGACAATATAACTGAACTGGAAAGTGAGCTGAATTGGAGAATTTTTCCAAATCATCTATTTTGGCCTAGATTGCTCACTTCTCCTGCCTTCTCCAAACTCTTCACCCTTTTGTGAATAACCCTGTGAGAGATCACACCAGACTTTCCTGACTGTCTGATCTGATGGCAGATGATAGAAAGCTGTATACAAGAAGAGACTTTAGTCGGAATTCACTTTTATACTGATCTTTCTGCAGTTTTAGTTAATCAGACATTAGCCAAGGCACAAAATTCTATTAAAAACATAATATTGGACTTCAGTCTGCTATAACTATTTTTTCTCCATTTTTATAGGTGCTCCACAAAAAGAGGTCTATTTCATGGGACTCATTGACATTTTAACACCGTATGATGCAAAGAAGAAAGCCGCTCATGCAGCTAAAACTGTGAAGCATGGGGTAATGTCTTTTAGTAAATATCTGTTATACTGAATCAGAGCAATATCTTGCTGGGAATAACAAACACATATTACATACATAACTATGCAAACTTCTATCTCACAGGTAGGTAAATCTGGAGCTAAAGGGTTATGCAGCTATCTTCAGGTGATTGGACACTGACAAATCAAAGCTGTAAGGTCAGAGCTGTATAACCCCACCCCCTTTCAGATTGCCTCAATTTTTCTGATAGTGTCCTAAGCTTTGATCTAGCTTGGGGGGAAAATAAAAGAACATCCTTTCCCCCCCCCCCAAACAGCTTGCAAGTTTCCTTATGCTGCTCAGAGCCACTGTTGCACCTTCAGCAGCTATAAGAATCGTTTTTTCCATCAACAGTGCCTTGGTAACCATACCGGACAGAAGATGTAGGGCTGTCCTCTAATGTGCTTAGAGCACTAGATCCTGTGAGGGGTCCAGTCCTAATCTTAATGGATTCCTGTAAGTCCAGGATTTCCAGTATTGAACCTGCCCGCTCTGTCATCCCCTTCCTCTACCTGGGAGACTTGTTGGCATCGATGGACATCGAGAAACCATATTTGCATGTCTCGATTTTTTTTTTTTCCTGCCCATTAATGTAATATGCATTTTACTGTACTGGAACTCTCTCTTCGCTTGAAGTACCTGGACCTAATTATGGACATGGCCCTCACTAGGGTCTTCCTTCCCCTGGAAAAGATACTTCTCTTTTCTCCTATGCTCATACATTGCGGTCAAGGGGTTACCCGGCTTTTGCAAGAGGTGCTAGGCTGAGCCCCTCACTTCACGCAGTTGCAGCTCAGCATTCTGGCTGCATAGGACAAGCGGGTACAGTCCCAGTACCCTCCCCTTTCACTTGTCCAGCAAGACCAGTTTAAACAGACTACCGCCTGGGACTGTTTACATTTGTAGTGCTGGCTTTACAATAGAAGCGATTTCTGTCGACTCAGCTGTCGCCAGATTGCTTCTACGGGGCGGTTAAATTAAATAATTGTAAAAAAAAGTCCCCTGCCCCAGCGAGCACGCGCGTCTTTACGTAAACACTGTTGATTATTGCCACACATGCCGGAGTGACAGCAATAATTCTAGGGCCAATATTTATGCGTATCTCTAAACTGATGACCTGTGGGGGCTTTTTTAGGCTATGGACATTTTGGGGTACTGAATTTTGTTGCTATTTCACTGACGCACACAATTTTTAACCAGCGCATGTTGGATATTTATTTACTCGTTGTAACCTCATCTTTTATATTTTATAAAACAAATGGGTATTTTATTGTGTTTTGGGGCATTTAAGTGCATTCACAAACTTTTTGGGTGTGATAAGTTGCACTTATCTTGCATAACATAAACATTTGCACTGCCACCATTTTTTTCTATAGGGTCTTGGCTTTCAGAAAATTATAATATTTGGGGGTTTGAAGTAATTTTTAGGCCTAAAATGTGGATTATAACATGGGTGCATAAAAACAAAAAGTCATCGGTCATTAAGGGGTTAAATGGCTATAACAGTCTCTTAGGATTTAGTTGCTAAATTATGAATTTTGGAATCCACTTCTCACTCGCTTCATCAAATCACCCATCCGCTTTTATTTTAGTAGTGGGGTCTTTATACCTGAGTTTTTGTTTCTGACCTTCTACTGCAAAGAGTGGTTTGGGGTCTTGTACATTTCTGTGTTTTATAATAAGTAAAATGCAACACGATTGAACATCCATTGCTTGCCTCCCTAATGTCTGTGTGGGGGGTTTGAACTTGGGAGTTTCAGTGGAAACAGCTCAGTGCTGGAGCACTGCACAATAAAAGAAGCCAGTGAGTGAATCTACCCCACCATCCACCCCAAACAATAATATCAGTAAAAGTAAACCTACAAATGTGGTATTTCACTCTGAGGATCTGAGTTACACTTCTATAAGCAGAAGACTTACCGCTGTTAAAAAACCACATGCCGACATGCTATGTAGATCCAGAATTATAGTGTTTCCTCTTGGCTGCCTAGATTCCCAGTGATGAATAGCCTTACACAGTGCAGTAGGATGGGGCAGGGCCTAGCACAACCTTTGCAGGAAAAAGTGTGATTTGTATAGAACTTCCTATCACTAATTCTACTCTTCATATTGTCACTTAAGATGATTCTCTGCTTCATCTAATACTCCGTTTAAATTGTATTTTTGTAATCAGTTTACATTACAATTCACCTTCTCTCTATACTATTAAAAAGATAAGTTAATGGAGCTGCTTTAAGTGGAAATGTTATTCTAAATACTATTTTGTAAGTACTGAAATACATTCAGCTTCTTAAAAGGACTTGCAGGGGTACAGATCTGAGATCTCACTACTGGAATTCACAGGCTATGAGGAACTGATGAATGGTGTAACTGTGTCGAGAAATATCTTGTATTGCCCTTTTTTTTTTTTTTACCCATTTCTCAAAATGATCTGCACCAGTGAAATGGTAAAGTACAGTACCCAAAAGTGTCCATGACTGAGTTAACAGTGAGTGATGTCCCTAGGATTATTGCTCTAGCGTGCACGGTTATACGTAATGTGTGGCGCAGTCACTGTTTTTATATGCAGGCGCACCTGTCAGGTGCGTGTAGTGGTGGGAGGCCTTAAAAACATTTTGGATTCTTTTTAGTTTGTTATTATTATTATACAGGATTTATATAGTACCAACAGTTTGCGCAGCACTTTACAATATAAGGAAGACATTACAATCACAATACAATTCAAGACAAGATGGTAAGAAGGGCCCTGCCCGTGAGGGCTTACAATCTAAAAGATATTAAACTTTAATGTTTTACTTTTAAACAAACGAAAAGTAAATGAAGTATTGCTGTCACAATGAGGACAACAAGCCCCCTATGTGAAAGCACAGTGGAAGTGACAGGGACTCTTTTAGACCCCTAATGTCACCGCTGCACTGGTTTGAAGCTACAGGAGTACAGGTCATGCAGGTTACTGCACTAGAAAGATGACAGTCGGCTGAGGGAATGTTAAGGCTGCTTATAAGTCCCTGCTTCTGCCAATGTAAGCCTTATATCAGTGGCAGCAAAATGGTTAAAGCTGAACTCCAGGCAAACCGCTGAATACGCAGATAACATCCGTATAAGGGAGCTGTTTTATCTGCCAAAGGGTTTGTATTTCTGTCCAGTAAGTCCCCAGATTTATACAGCCCTGTCTGGCAGGCCAGAAAGCCTGATTTTGTTTTTTTGTTTTTTTTTCTTCTAAAGCAGTTAAGGAACTTCTACAGGTCTGATCTCTCCCTCAGCCTGTGGCTGTACAGTAAAAGTAGGAGCAGCATATGAGCTCAGCTCCATTACTCTGCTCTCTTCTCCTATCAGCATTGTGCTTGTTGGCACAAATTCCCTGCAGCACAACTGATTGGCTTCTTATGCAGCCGTTTTCTCCCCCAGTCTAAGCTACCATTTAATGACGTATTTAGGATTGCAGAGCTGCATGAGTTTTGTTTTTTTTATATCTGTGTGAAGTACAGCTGTAATGGAATGTCATTTACATGGGTAGTCTCGTTTATATTGAGTTAACTAATGTAAAGAGGGAGCACGTCTCTGCTTAGGGGTGAATTTATTAGGGGATTCCCTTTTATGTAAACATTTAGGCTAGTTGGTGTAATGGGAGGCAGAGGGAAAGAAGTGTAGTAATCATTTTCTGACTGTAGTAAGACATTCGTTGCGGATTTTTTTCTGGTAATAAGAAATATCTTACACTTGTTATCTTTGCTTTCTAGGCTGGAGCTGAGATTTCTACCGTTCATCCAGACCAGTATGGGAAGAGATTCCTGGAGTTTGTCACACATATCTTTGCATAAAGCTTCAGCTTAAGATCTCCGATAGAATGTGTTGAGAAGACTAAATCCAGAACTCTACCACTGTGTACTTAGACCAAGGAGGTTTTTTCCTCAGTTTTTGTTACTTTTCAAACAATATCATTTTAGTTTGAAGGCTTTTACCACAAAACTGGCCAATACCCACAAAGCTGCATACTGAAGTATTGTCACAACTACTGCTGGAGAAAAGGACTCTTGATGGGCCAAATAAAGAAGGACATTTTTCATATTGGTACTAACCTGCTAAACCTTTTCTGGCTTGATGCCAAATTTAGAAATGGAAATGAAATGTTTGATCACTGGTTCGAGCCTCATACGCTGCATCCATTTATTATTGCTGGTCATATTTTTGTCATATTGTTACAAGCTTACAGGCAGTGCCTGATTAATAACTCCATTTGTGCTTAGACCTCTGTCCCTTTTTACAGTTTGTAAATTCGGCTTGGGTACTTGGCAGTGCTGGTCTGTAGTCTCATGTGTAAGGGGGTTTTCCTCTTAAAGTGGGTTAAACTGTCCACTTGTACCAATGGAAACTAAGCTGGACAGAATCAAACCGTCCAACAGCATTGGAAATGCTTTCCAAGTAACAAAAAAGATGGCCAGCAAGCAACCAGAAGCAAGGCTTCTAACAATCCTCTTAGGCCATTTAAAGTGACACGAAACTCTGGAGTTTAACCTTAAAAATGAATTCAAGTACCTAAATTATTAACAAAACTGTATCTTCTTTGTGTATCACTCAGCTGTACATCCTCAAATCATCTCAATGGATTTTTCACGCTGAGGTTAAATAATTTGTATTGAGATTGTAGTCCATCACGGGAGCGAGCTTGGAGTGGCGACTACTTTATAACACACACAGGGAACATGGGGAAGAAAAGTAGCCACCCTCCAGAAGGAAGGACAGTGTCAGCACCAATTCAGAGATGATTTGAGGATCTACGATACATTTTTGTTAATAGTTAAGATGCTTGGATGCATTTGTAAGATTTAACTCCTGAGTTTAATGTCACTTTCATTATAAGTCACCGTAATCAATATTCAGTTGGATAGACTTTTTACTGACAACTTTATGTTCATAGTCTTGACACCACTTTCCTGTTATAGCAGTTCACAGTGTCCAAATAGACCCCAGAGTTTGACCACTCTTCCATGGGCACTTTGTACTCCTAAAATGTGGTCACACATTCCTCTGTTCTTTAGCAATATAAGTATGCATGAGAATGCGTGTGATTAGGAGTGTGGCCATTACTTATTTAGGCTAGCACAGAATACTGGGGGGGGGGTCATTTCCATTTCTGAGCAAAAATCCTAAGACAATCAGGCTTTTATAACAGTGGAGACTCCCTTCTATAGATTTGTGTACTGGCTGCTAAAGTCAAGCTTTTGGAGTTGGGGCACATTTATAACTAGGCTTGTATGGCTGATATAAGGGCATTTTAGCAGAGGTTTTTATATGATTGTTAGTGTTGCTTGCGCAGAAAAAATAATACATTAGCTACGCTTGCTGTGGCTTTAAATGCAGCTCTACAATGTATAATTTTTGTGTTGAAGCATTTTCTGTTAAAAACTTCAGGTAGAACCAGCGCTCTGGAACAATGAACATGGTCTGCATTAGAGATTTACGCTCTTTGCCATTTCAAGCAGACATGACATTTTCTTTTACATTCCTGTGAAATATGGTTTCCAAAGTTTGCTTTCATTCCACTAGGTAAATATCGTTTCCTTGGAGATTAACATAACCAATGTGCCTTGATGGTGCTGTTTGAGGTCACACAGAGCAAGGGTTATGTTATTTTTATATTCTGGTGGGTGGTATAATTAGCTTTATTATTACATATAACAGATCTGTAATGTTCCTGTACTGTAGACGACAGGCAAACATAAAACAGAAAAGTTATTAGAACTGGCTGCATGTGAATCAGTAGGAAGGAGATCAGCATTATGCAATCACATTCCGTAAAACACATCTTTCCTTGCTATAAAAAAAAAAAACACCCCCCTGAGCTTTCTCACACTACCTAAATCTTACAGGGCTATTCACAAAAGGGTGAAGAGTTTGGAGAAGTGAACAATCTAGGACAACATAGATGAACTGGAAACATTCTCCAATCAGCTCAAGTTTGAGTTCATCTATGTTGTCCTAGATTGTTCACTTCTCCGGCCTTCTCCAAACTCTTCACCCTTTTGTGAATAACCTTGTTTGTCTCTGGCTACCTGGAGCCTTGTGGGTGTTGAACACCATAAGGGACTTCAGCTACAGCATTATTGTAAGAGGCTTAGCAGGGCAAAACCATTATGTGCTACTACTGAACAAAAAACACAGCCTAGTGTATTTCCACTTTTGCAGCCACATTAGGATAACATTTACCTCATTTGTTACATGTTGCCATTCACATAGCATAACTTCAAAACAATTCATATCACAAGCATATAGAGGGGGTTCTCAATTTTGGCTTTAAACGTGGAAATACCCTGTAAAGCCCAATTGAAGGTTCATAGAAAGTGGGTGATGTACATTCAGGGTGCAGAAAAATAGTAAGTAATCAACTTACCGTTGTTTTTGATTGTAAAACACCCTGAGCTCCAGTGAGTTACAGATAGTCAGCTGTGTCCCCACATTATTCATAACCACGGCTCTGCAATCCGCAATGCTCTGTGCTCAGGAGAGTGAGTGTTGCTGATTGCAGAGTTGTGGTTGTGACCATCGCGGGGAGCGTGGCAGACCACTGCAGATACACTGCTAATTTTACCCGGAGGACGCGGCTTCTATTTCCAGCGCACAGACCTTTCCGGGGGAGATTTACAAACCACAAACAATGGTAAAACATTGTGAATTTGCTATTTAGCTGAGCCCTCATTTTATAGAGTTTTTTTCACTGAAACTTCAATTAGGCATTAAGGAGAAATCAAGGCTGAATGTACATGAAATTGTCCCAATGTATACAGAAACAATGCAGAGCGCCTTTTCATGAGATTATTTACAAATATACTCTCTGACTGAAGTAATATGAGTTGGTTGGAGAATTTTATCAAACCCGGAGCAGCTGTGCATGGCAACCAATCAGCTTCTCTCTTCAGTTTTGTTCAGTTAAGATTTGAAAATGAAAGAGAAGCTGATTGGTTGCCATGTACAGCTGCTCCAGATTTGATAAATCCCCCTCCATGTTTGAGGTGTTTAGTTTTGCCTTTTTAGTTCTCTTTCTGAAGCAAACTACCTTAGGTGCATTCAGTGATACAAATTGGCCAGTTCAGGTGCACATCACACTGAAGGAGCTGGGAGGGAGAGCTCCAACTTTGTGGTTTAGGAAAAGCATTTGCACATTGAATGCATCAGTTTGCTCTGTAAGATGACTGGGAATGTTCATACCGGAACCTCTGTTAGGTGCCTCTATTTAACTCTTGCTATCAGTGAGGGCTTGTTTCCACCAGCCCGCACGTGTACCGCGATGTCCCATGCCTGGAACGCAAGGGACTGCATATATAAAGTCTCCTTGCATTCTGGGGTGGGAGGGGGCAAGGCAGTGCCATTCAAGTCAATGTCCCCCCCCACGCATTATGATCGGCCGCACAGGAACGTGTGGTAATAAAATGCTGTGTTCCAGTGCTGTAGGTTTGCAAAAAATAGTGCATCCATGATTTTATGTGATCCCACCCCACTGGAACACAGTGCATTTTATTACCACGTGTTACTGTGCGGCCGATCGTACTGCGGGGGGCGTGTCTGCACTGCCACACCTTCTCCCGCCCCAGGACGCAGGTAAACTTTATATTTGCGATCCGGGCACGGGACATTGCGGTAGACGTGCGGGCTAGTGGAAAGCAGCCCTAAATTAGCTTAAACATCACTTTTTTACATTCAAGGAGATGTATACATTCTAAAAGGCTCTGTGGAGCAATTTTAATATATATTCAATGACATCTGTTAAGCTCACCACACATTGTGCAATCTCCTTTATATCTACCAACAAATGTGTTGTGCAAGGACCTGTCTGATTGGATGTATTGGGTAGGTCCTCATATTCTATAGATTTGGTAAATCTAAAATGTATTGTACAAACATTGGGTGATCAGATTGTAATGTGCGTGTGGTGACCCTTACACAGAAAGATGTAAGCAACACTTTGTATAAAATCCAGGTTCTGTCATTATGGGATCCCTGCATGGCAAATGAATGGAGTTTACATAACCTGGGTGGATGTGGCTTCCCATTCTAAGATTAGTGAAAGAAATCTACTCTTTGGAGAAACAATATAAGTACTTTTTTTTTTCTAGTTAAATTTGAATCATCAATATGAAGAAGTTTATGCGCTGCATTGTTTGCAGGTATAGCCTAACTGTTTATATTAAAAAGAAATCCGTGCTCTGTTATTGCTGACCTCTTCTGAACATGCTAGTTGCTTGGCTTCCATGCTCACCCTGTTGCTTTGAGCCCAGGTATACATTCAGATGGGCACTTAGTAGTGAAGGCAGTGGATCAGTGTGACCGCTAATCACAAGCTTTTCCAATGTGTTATAAACCATAAAGTGAATTTCTAGATGTACCCAAATACTTTAGGACCTGTGTACACTGTATCTATTGAGCTGCACACAAGGCACATTAAAAAAATCAATTGTTACCTATGTGACCTTTTTATACCATACATGTGTGGTGGTGTGCAGAAAACACAGCTCAACGGACATGGCGCAAACAAGCCCTTAAAGGACAACTTTACCTACCTTCCCAGTTTTTACCCCTGGCTACATTGAGGGGAGTTTGGCATATTTAAGGACAATTTCCGCTTAGTGACCTCCAGTACATAAAACCTATGAAACTGTATAGAAGACAAAGCTCATTGGGGATATTCAGATGTTCCTTTTTACAAATGTTACTTTACTGTAAGAAAAGGACTACAGCCTCTGTGTTGTGTGTGTAACTGTTGTATGTAACATGTCACATGCTTTCTTACTACACAAAGTGATGTAAAAGGGAACAATTTTAAGGCCTGCCCCT